CGGTTATCAATTGCTAGATATCAGTTGTTAGAAGGTGTTCAAAGACAAGGGCATTGCCATTAGGCATCCGTAGGGTCAGACACGACCAATCCATTGCACATGCATCGTCACATATGCCCTGGATCCAAGGAAGAGAGGCTATGGGAGCACTCACTGAGTCTCCCCTTTATCCCCCACTCACCCCTGGGACAGGCTTGCTACAGCATAAAAATAAAATAAGCCCCCACTTCGGCAAACCTTATGAGACTGACAGACATTTGCAGAAGTATGTATGCACATGAGAGAAACGTAGGCATTTATTATGTACATATATATATTATAGATGTATAAAATATTTCATAAACATACATGTATTATGCATCTATCTGTATGTACATTCAGACCTGTCTATTGACAAATGTATATGCAGCGTTATCCAAATCCATATTTACACATGCATACATAACACATATATGCAGAAATAAAGCCATACATAGGTTCATGGGTGTATGTTTACAAAACACACACATATAGGTTAATCCAGCTTTCTGTTTGACATCTCTCCAGGAATTTACACAAACCCATAAAATTCTTGAGGAAAAAGTTCTTGCGTTGGGGGGGAGTGAAGACAATATATCAGTACTTCATATAGTGTCTGTATATGCCGCACAAAAATATAAGGCAACAAGCATTGTTCCTTATATATCACTCTTCTTATTATTCTTTTTAAAGGTATATTGTTCAAATACCTATTTGTTTAGATGGTTTGCAGTGACGACACAATCTGTAAGCATTGGTGAATTTTTTTTTTAAACAGTGGTAGTCTCTTTTTAGAATAAATGGACAAAGAAATGCTAAGGAAAAAACCCAATTGCCACACAAAGGGGGAGCTATCTACATTTTCAGTGAATTATGTCACAATAACTCCTAGACTCCCAGAAGAATGAGACTATTAAAATGTTTGCTGTATATGTATTTATGTTATTCCAGTGAGCCTTCTCTCCCCTACATTATCTACATAATACTCGGAATCAATACAGGATGCCAATTACCCCAAGCACACTTATTTCATAAGAACAATAGAGACTATTCCTATCATTTGTGCAAACAAGAAAAATTATTACTTGAAGAATTCAAAATCATTCTAATGTGTTTACTTACAGATAGATGCCTTATAAATAGAATCGACTGGTTAGACATAATATATGATTCTCTATATCCTAAGGCATATCATTTTAGAAAGTTCAACCCGCCAACTGCCCCTTCAATTGTTCACAGCCATGGGGACACACCTGTGAGAGAAATGACCCCTGAGAAGCCAGAGTTGGACTCTTAGTACTCCTCCACTGTCATTTCAGACTTGTTCTCTCTAATACTTCCCACCCTCACACACTGGTCCAGGCTGATCTCAACATTCCCAAAGACAGAGGTCCTAGCACTTGCCTTGATGGAGCTAGCTCAGAAACTCTAAGCTCTAGTAGGACCTTTGTTCTTTCTTTCCTCTTATCCTGCCAACCAGGTTAAGTGTGCCAGCTTGCTTTATGCTTACTATAATATGTATGACATTTAATATTTCCTCACCCTCCTTGGTTTTTAACATCTAACACACTGTCTTCCTAAGTTTTTGTTGGAATTTCTGTACCTACTCTGGCTCATCGCCGAGGAAATGTCTCTATGTATTTAATTCTTTAGGACAATCAACAAAAAATGTAGTTTCCATTTCATCTCTTTTGTATGAGCCCCTTCATTCCTGGTGGCCTTTCACCAAAATCAAATTGGGGACCTATCCTCTCACTCGATATATTTCTTTCCATGTAAGCCCAGTACTACGGGTCTTTCTCCACAATGCTACTTTCTTACAGATGTATGTACAGCTTATGTTTACTGGCACCTCATATCTGTCTAATCCTTATGACATTCTAAGCCTCTTTGTAAACTTAATCTGGTTGCTTTTCATGAAAATATAAGTCAAATTATGTACTGAACTGAAGAGACCATCATCAATTGAGTAAAACAGTTAAAGTGGTACTCAGGGACATACAGCTATCTTACTGTCCCCCGAGAGAAACGGATTTGTAAAATTTTGCTTATCTCAATTATATTGATTTCCATCACTCACTTTATCTCTTTGTATCCAAATTTATAATTCTGGGTAGACACACACACACACACACACACACACTTATGTGTTGATGATAGATACACAGATAAGTACCAAATGCTGACACCTCATCCACCATGCACCTTTCTAAGTGGATTTAATATTCAACTTCAATAAATACATTTCATATATTAGTCAAAACAGTGACTAAATGGCCAGGAATAGCACACCTAGTAGCATCTTTTTAAGTCGTACCCTCCACCCCCAAACTGAACACCATCATTCAGCTTCTCTGCACAGTTTTTCCAGCCAGTTCCAGTGCATGTACCACCTGCTGCCCGACCAAACTGAACCCCCAGAGCAAATACAGTATGGAAAGACAACAGCTTTCCCCAAGTCCAAGGGCGTGAGGCACTGCCCTCTTACTTCACTCCTTCCAGGATGGCACCAAAAAGACATCTCATTTGTTACACTGAAACTTTATGATGCAAATCAACACACTTACAAAGGGTTTTGACATATTATTTGGAAGCTTCTGAAAATTAATCAGTACACCGAATAGAGGCAAACACACTATCCCAAATCACACATGAGGCTGTTACGAGAATATACTGCATATTTCTGCTATTTTAAAGTATATTTTACTTATAGACACAGCACACAGAACTCACCTTCCTTCCTTCCGCAGATTGCTGGTAAGTAGATGGGGAAATGCATCTGAATTAATGTGATTGATGCATTACAACTATGAAATACTTCCAAAGTGTGTATCTGTGTAAAAGTGTCATACACATCAGATATTCAGCCAATTGCCTTGTGATAAATATATGGTAGCCGCATAAGTGTATTAGAAAATGAGGATAACCATCTGAAATTTATAAATATTCAAACCTTTACTGAAAGCAGCTTGTATGTGAAATTTAAATGACATATAATACACTAGAAAAAAGGCTCCATTCCAAAGTTCTACAAAAAGGAATTGTATTTACAGATGACATGAACTAATCAAATACATCTAGCATCGTCTGGAAAACTTAATGGCATGCCATAACTTAATATCACAGCAAATATGCATAACAGAACCCATAATTATTTTTCTAATAATCAAGCCAAAAGCAAAGTAAACGGAGCAATATAAAAATGAAAACAGAAAAAGACAAAGGCAAGGATCACAAAAAACATTTATGATATAACTCAGATGGCTTGAGAAACCAGTTAAACCCCTGAAGCTTTTTTTTTTGTCTTATATTCTTGTGTTTGGTTTTTATTGCATGCGAATCCTATCTGTCACTAAACATTAAAATGCCCTCATGATTCTGCAGATACCTCAGACGGTGGCGATCCCTCCAGAAATCCCTCCCACTGAAACAGGTTAACGGAAAGGATAGATGTGTAAGAAGACAGGCGATCTCTCCATCAGGGGAACCGAGGAATGGAAAGCAATAGCCCCTCTATCCCACAGCATCTTCTCGGCGGTCACTCTTAATTTGTCTCTGAGTCCTGCCTTAGGTATTCACAAAGGCCGCAGAGCAAAATGCTGTGTCCAGAACAAAGCTCTCATACCACACAGGTTCTCTGTTCCCTCACCAACACCAAACTGCTCCTTGGTGGAGGTTTCCAAGATGCAAATGCAACGTGGGCTTCTCAGATGGATTTGATTTCAATGAAAATTAGTGCCAAACAAACATCTTTGATATGCAAAACATCTACATGTCTACACTAGCAAGTAAGAAAGAATTATTCACCAACCAGCACAAAGTTTTCTTCCAGGAGGTTAAAGGAAATAGCAGATCTGTAAATGTTAAAATACCTATTGTAAAGATGAAGGAACTGAGAGACAATAATTAAGGGAATCAAATTATCAGAAGAACTACAACCTAGAAAATCTTGGGGAAAGTTACTATTTCATGGTCTTTAATACAGCAAGGCTATTATTTCATGTGGAAATATTTTGAAAGTTTATAGCTAGTGCATATTAAAAGCACATTTCATCAATAAATTTTCACATGCTGAACATATTAGACTATAATTTTAAATAGGAATTTTAAAATATCAAACAGAACTCTGAACTAAGCTAAGGTGCTTGGTTGTTACATATTTTCAGCCATGTTACATATAATTAATCCACTGAGCTCGTGAAAACCCAGTCTGCATCGTATGTAATTTGGCAGTGCAGATTTGCCACTTTTAAACACAGTTTAAGGTTTATGTAAGCATGCACAATTAAGTAACCTAAGTGATTAAGTAAGTAACCAAACTACTGTTGGGGAGAATGTGGAATAAGCACACGTTCTCAGTCTGGTTGTGGCCCATTTCAGCCGATGTGTTTAACTGATAGCACACTGCTGTCTATTTTTAAGTCATAAATAATTGGCTCACAGGAGTCAGTGAATGTGTATGGGGATACGCATGTGTGTGGAGAAGAAATGGAGTAAGTTCTCTGACAGCATTTGTATTCCGTTCTTAATTATTCTCCAAAGATTTTTTTTTAATAGCAGCAGAAGTGAACGCCAAGAAGGAAGCTTTCAATCAAAGCTTCATTGGCCCAGGTGGTGGTGTTATGCCATTAACAGGCCTTTGTAACCTGCATGAGCTTTAACAGGTGCAATGAAAGGGAGGCCCATGTTATCTGCTCCTTACAGAACTAGGTTCTTGACAGCACCTATGTGAGATGGACACATGTGGCTGTTGGGAAAGACTTTAGGACCTTCCTATTAGGGGAAATCACAAGTAAAATATAAAAGTGAACTTCAAATAGCAACTAAATAGCTCACCAACTAATTCTATGCTGGGATCACCAAAACAAAATGAAAAAAAAAAATTCTCTCTTCTAAAACTTCTCAAGAAAACATGGGTGGCAACAGTTTGATTAGTGATGTATCTGAATATGCTCAAGAAAACATGGGAGGCAACTGTTTGATTAGTGATGTATCTGAATATGCCGTCCAATAACTAGAAATAGTAATCCTGCTAGCAAAGAAAAAAATATCCCCGCTGGGGCCAGAAAAAATGACCAGCCATAGAGAACAGAAGGGGTGAACTCCAAGCAGTCTCTCATTTTCATGTTTTTGTAGCCTTCCATGTCAGCCACTGCCTGGACCCAGATGACATACAGCATCACCACCAGGGAAAACAGGATGCCTGGGAAGGACAAAACGAAAGACCTTTAGGCTTTATGAAGATGCTTTCCCAAGAACGCTAACCAATCATTTGCCTGATGATATGTCTCTAAAAATACCATCCTAGCCAAGTCACCTACTTTGTGTCAGACTTTTTATTTATGTGTTTTATATGCACATTGTCTATCTTTAATTTTCAAAGCATTGAGATGAGAGCTATGGCAACGTAAGAACAATGGCAACAGCTGTCATGCATTTACTGAGTACTTACTGTATGCCAGGCTCTGTATTAGGCTTTTGTGAACATAAGAGTCAAAGATCCTGCCTGGTGGAATTTCTTCTCACATTTCCCATCTGTACTGTATGTCTGGTTTGGGGTGAGCACTGTAATATATTATTTATTGCAGTATACAATAAACTGGTAAAAATAGGTACCATTAACCCTTGTTTTATTTTTTTTTTTTAATTTTTTTTTCAACGTTTATTTATTTTTGGGACAGAGAGAGACAGAGCATGAACGGGGGAGGGGCAGGGAGAGAGGGAGACACAGAATCGGAAGCAGGCTCCGGGCTCCAAGCCATCAGCCCAGAGCCCGACGCGGGGCTCGAACTCCCGGACCGCGAGATCGTGACCTGGCTGAAGTCGGACGCTCAACCGACTGCGCCACCCAGGCGCCCCAACCCTTGGTTTTTAACTAGCAGTTTTCAGAGCTGATTTTCAGCTCAGGTCTTTCCGACTGTTGTTATGTTATTACAACACAGCTGACTGGTGCTACGGGTAATTGTGTCAATGAAAACAGAAGCTGAAGTGAGTACCAGACAAGAACGGAGATGAAAGCACTGGACTAATGTAAAAGAATATACATGATTCTTTCGAATTGAAATATATACGGTAAGATGGATCATGGCATAAAGGAAACATTGCCTGGAAAAAGTTCAGTGGACTATAAAACCACAGGTTTAAGACCAAGAGCCTTACCAAACAAAAGAAAGGAAGTAAAAAGAATGTGGGGATGTGGGGAGGGAGCAATATGACAGGAGAGCTTCACGGATGCTAAAGTTTGAGAACGCCACAAAGCATATACTTTTCCATGTGGCGGCTACTGAAAAAAAAAACAGAAAGGAGCAGCACTTCTGAGCTGCAAACCCAGGTGAGTCAGCTGGCTGACTCACTCACTAGTGACAGATCCGGAGCAGGACGCAGCCTGAGGGATTCAAATCTGTCCCTAAGCAAAATATACTTGAGGTCATTTGCTAGCTGTTCAAAAGTTCAATCCAAACCTGTCAAGGACCTATTAGTTTTTGAATTAAGGAACAGAAGCATCAGGCATCAAATCTCCATATTCTAATTGCCAGTCAGTCTGAAAGGTAAACATAACCCTGGGACTGAGAGCAGAGATGGTGGCATATTGGTAGGACACAGTAGCTTTTAGGAGCCTAGCCATTAATCACCCTTCCCCAGTTGATTGTGCTCCTACAGTATTTAGGATGCCCTCTCTCTCTTGGGCCATCAATTGCATAAAGAATCTTGAGAAGCACTCACAAAAGAAGAAGGGCTCATAAATATGCCGAGGTGAGTCTCAAACTTTCTCATAATCGTGATACAAAGTACAGAGCAATGAAGAATCAACATAGATGCTTCACTAATAGGAAACATCCTTCACACTGTGGTCTGTAATGTAAATGCAAATATGGCAGCACAGAAGAGTGCAATTTAACCACCGAACAACAGCGATGTCAGAGAGAAATAGTAAAGTCATAGCCGGCGAGCAAACTCCTCGCAAAGCCGTACCTCAGATGTTGACAACAATATGGCAAGGCCATGTGTTGTCGAGCAGCTCTGTGCATTTCAATACATTTTCCTGCAAATATATAGACACCGTTCTCTCCTAATGTAAAAGTTTGGCTTAGTTATTTGCATACCATTTGCCTTATGCAAACACACTGCAAACCTTTGTTATTATTTGCGGATATATTTCTTTATCTCTCTTCCATCGTATGAATCTCTTGTGCTTTCAGGTATTTTTATTAAAAAAAAGAAAACTGTCTTTGTGAAAAACTAGAAGCCTTATTTGTATATCCTTTCAAAAGTTAGAAAATTCATTACTGAATTTAGAGTCTTCAAAAAAACACATTGCAGGTAATCATGTGGAGATTTTTTATAAGAAAGAATTAACTTATACTTAAAATATACTTAACTATTAAAAAATATACTTAAAAACTGCTGTCATTCAAGAGCATTTGCATCCTGAAAGCAATGAAAATAGGCACTTCTATCACTGCAGTCTTTAACTTGTTCACCAACTGAGGATACTGTCCATTTAATTCATATCATACCAGCTTCTAATTATATCTTCCCATGGGGTAAGACAGAGTTTCCTTACCTATTAAATTGCCAGTGTTTTATACCAGTGTGTGTATGTGTGCATGTATACACTTGCACATGGAGACAGAGACAGACAGAAAGAAAATGAACTAACGGACATTGAAAAGTAAGAATTTATGATGGGGAGTCTGCGTGAGACATCTGGCCAACAAAGGAATCAGGAGACTGTTACATAGAGGTAGACTGATGAAACAAATAAATATATTGAGGTTAGTTGGAATCATGTTCTTCACCACCTGAAAGGGGAGTTACAAATTTGGAAAGGGGGAAAGTTAGAATAAACTCTATTCTATTTCTTTGGAGTTAAATATATCAGTGTGAATTTATGGTTCTAGGTAGATAGACAGATAGATGATGGATAGATAGATAATAGATACAGAAGTAAAAGTGTGTGTGTGTGTGTGTGTGTGTGTGTGTGTTAAAATATACCTGTGTGTATATGCCTACATATATTACCTGGTTCTGTTCCCTGAGAGGGTCTGAGAGCAGTAACACCCCAGTAGCATGGAACATACCAACTATCCAGATCTTCGCTTCTAAATATCAGACCCAAGCATCTCAAAGAAATAGTTGTATCCAGGCTGGGACAGAAAGTACCAGGTAAGTCAGGAACATCAGATGTGCTCAAGGAATTGTGGGAGTGTCTCAGAAGTGAGCTTCAGGGACTTCCCCAGACAGTTCTGAGGCAATCTGACTATCAAACAACAAATGATAATGGTACATTATACCTCACTGAATAAAATAGAAATCAGAGCCCACAGTGATATAAATAAATGAATAAATAAATTAGCAGGGAGACGGGAAAGCTTTTCCTTACAGAATGCTAACTTATAAATGTAGAAGGAATAGTTGAGTTAGAAATCGCCATTTGGCAATCATTTAAGTAATAATTCAGGCAAGAAACAAAAATGGATGCTAAAACTAGTAAATGAAACGTAGATGAGAAATAAATATTTACACAGGCTCAAAGTCTCTTCCCACAAGACACTTATCAATTTGTAAAGGGGAAAACAGTAATTTTATACTGAAGAAACCTAGCAAATATCACCTTATTCAAATGATCAAAGTGAACATCACCAGTGGCATGACATATTCATGTCACTAACCACCTTGTCAGACACAATGAGAATAGCACAGCATCACTGCTGTGATGCAGCCAAAAATGAAGAGCCTAAATCCAGCCATAGGAAAACATCAGACACACCAACTCAGGAACACTGTAGAAAATCACAGGCCTGTACTCTTGTAGAGTCAAAGTCATGAAGGTCTACCTAGGATTTATTCTGGTCTGATGGAGATTCGAATGACACAACTACTAAATGCAAAGCATGTTCCAGGACTGGATCCTTTTGCTGTGAAAGACATTATTGAGATGGTTAGTGAAACGTGAGTGGAGTCTCTGGGTGAAGAGACTTTCAAGTTCAATGTAAATGTGAAAATATTTCAAAACAAAAACCAAAATGAATGAATAAAAAAAAGTGTAGTGGGAATCTGTGGCTATGCGTGTTAGAAAGAGCATATATATGCTCTCTATATATGGGGGAATGGGAGGAGGGTATGTGTGTTCATATACCCAGCAAGATACATCTTCTTTCCGCAACTTTATTTGTGACTATTACTGAACAGTAATATTACTGATCCGGTTCACCTACCAAGTGGAGAGTCTCATCTGGGAGAATACTAACAGCAAAATACTATGGAAAAATCTTAATTATTATACCATGATATCTTAAAGGACTCTCATTCATGAAAATATAACTAATAACTGTCTTGAGCAACAAGTGATTTGCATTTCAAGCTCACCTGCCACTATGATTTTAGCAGAACTAGAAAATATTGCTAGTATTTAGGTAATAATTTACTTCTAAAATTAAGTTAGATTTAAGTTTGGTCATATTTTGAAAGCATGATTTATTTCCAATTAAATTTAAAAATACCTAGTTTTTGGAAGACCAACAAAAATTCATAAAACAGCTCACTGGAGGCATAATCAAAGTAAGGTACCAAAACCCATGAAGATTTGTGATAATAAAATCATGGACAAATAAGTCACAAGAAACTGTTGGTTCCCTTATTAATTAGCAGTGTGATGAAGAGCCATTAAACTTATGATTTCACACAGATTCTCTTACGAATTTGAAAACTTTTCCCTCTAAATATCAAGAATTCAGGGAATCTGGGTGGCTCAGTCGGTTAAGCATCCAACTTGATTTTGGCTCAGGTCATGATCTCATGGTTCATGGGTTCGAGCTCCACATGGGGCTCTGTGCTGACAGCATGGAGTCTGCTTGGGATTCTCTCTCTCTCTCTCTCTCTCTCTCTCTCCTGTCTCTCTACCCCTCCCCTGCTCGCTCGCTTGCTCTCTCTCTCTCTCTAAAAAATAAATAAACAAACATTAAAACAATTAAAAAATATCAAAAATTCAATTTGGAAAGCATTTTCTCTGAAACAAAAGTCACATAAAATTTAGTCACAAATGGCCATCAGGAACACAATTGCTAATGATAAACAATATGGAAATGATCACAATGTGGAAAAAAAATACAAAAGAATTTTCCCCAACACCAAGTCACAGACTGAAAAATAAAACTACATGTCCTCAATATTTCATAGAAAAAAGTATGGAAAAATAAGACA